ACCCGGCTCCTGGCTTGGCCCAGCCATGTGGCCAGCTAATGCTGCCCATCCCCCGGTGCCCTAGAGCCTGAACCTGCGGGGCACTCACAGTGAACGTCCTGATTTTGGTGCTGTATTCCAGCACCCCGGGCAGGGTGATCACCATCCGGCGGGAGCCGCGCCCCTTCTGCCGGGGAAAGCACAGGGTCAGCTAGAAAGGTAGCAGTGCATCCGGACCGCACCATTACCACACACTCGCGCTGCCATAGCAGCCCCTGGCTAGATCTGTGGGAAAGGCAAAGACGCTGCAAGCCGAGGAAGAGGACGTTCTGAGCGGGGGAGCCCTCCCGGGCTCAGTCAGCCTGCAGGCACTAGCCCCAGATCAAGGCCTCAGCTCTAGTGAAGAAACACCTGAGCCCTCCCTCTCAGAAATCCAGCCAGGCAGCACCGCCCTCCACCAGGGCCATAGCAGCCCCTGGCTAGATCTGTGGGAAAGGCAAAGACGCTGCAAGCCGAGGAAGAGGACGTTCTGAGCGGGGGAGCCCTCCCGGGCTCAGTCAGCCTGCAGGCACTAGCCCCAGATCAAGGCCTCAGCTCTAGTGAAGAAACACCTGAGCCCTCCCTCTCAGAAATCCAGCCAGGCAGCACCGCCCTCCACCAGGCCATGAGCCTGTATCCGACACACAGAGGCACCTGCCCCAGGCTGTGCTGCAGGTCCAGGGGACTCTCAGGGGCACAGGAGGGAGGAAGAGCCCCCCTCCCGGATTTATGGTAATTGGTTTAGGAATATGCATAACTCAAAGGTGCTTTATGCAAAACAGGTCATGTAACTCAGCAGTTTTACAGTCACAAGCTGCTGAAACTGCATGGCCCAGTTTTGTGCATGGATCGTCCTCTGTGAAGTTAGAACTATGAAGCGTGTGTGTGACCTCAGTACCCCAAGTGTTCTGTCAGCCCCCCAACTCCCCCAGAGCAGCTGCTTTCTTGGGGAGAGGGAGGCCTAACCAAGCCACCCCACCCCACCACTGGGGCAAGGAGCCAGGGCTGGGAAGCAGCTGGTACCATGGTGGATGCTGACTGGATCGGCACTGGCTTCCTGCAGGTATTTGGTGACGTATGGCATCAAGGTGCTGGAGGGAAGGAAGAAGCCGGTGAGCAGGCTCAGGAGCTGCCAGCCACGGATACAGCTGTCCCTGCGGGGTACAGAGAAACAGGACACTGGACCAGCGAGGTATGGTCGTGAGGGAGGCAGGGGGAGGAATCCCCTCAGGGGGAGAAGGGGATTGAGGAGAACTAAAAACAATGTCACCAATTCACAGTTTTAATCAGGCGTCCTGTAATATTTGGGGTGGTTCTTAAAGCCCCGGCTCCTGGAGCCACATGATCAGAGGAAGGACTCAGCTTTCATGTACAATCAAATAGGAATCTTGCCCAGGCTGCAAAGGAAAAGCTTGAAAACTGACCCCTACCGGCTCCAGGACTGGGAGGTCGACAGAGGGAACCTGCCAGGGATAATTCTTCACAATCTCGTGAGTTTTTAGTCAATCTCAGGATCTAAGTGGGGGTGGGGACTCAAAGCTTGAGAGAGAAAGTGTGTGTCTGTCCATCAGTCCGTCCTGCTCAGGAAGGGGAGAAGGGGCCTCAGCAGATGACCGCTCCGCTGCTCAGACAGCACCAGGATGTCTAACATGGATGCTGGCAGAAGGATTTGATGGAGGAAGAGAAAAACCCCTCCACTGCATACACCGCTGTCCCCCGGCAGAGCACAGCTGGCAGCGAGTGACGTGGCTCTGCTGCGGTGACCAGGAAGGCACATGAACCAGAATGGAGCAGGAAACATGAGACTGTTTCCCGCCATCATTTCAGACAGACAAAGGAGCTCAGCAGCTGCCAGTGAACCGGCTCCAGGCCAGGGCTCAGTGTGAGCAGCACCTCACGGATCAGTGACCTGCTGTGCTGGGCCCTGTCCCTGTGCACACAGGCCTCCTCTACAGTCGCGCTACCTCAGTTACCCTGGTACATCAGCCCTAGAGGGGAGGCAGTTACGCTGTGTGTGGCGAGGCCCACGCTGCCTCTCTGGTTTCGGTCCCTGCTGGCCTCCCAAACCAGCCTGGAATGCTTCAGCTTACGCGACACCCGTGTTCTGTATTTACACGTGGCTTCCCACCACCACGTTCAAATTTCACAGCCAACTTTGCCAAGAGCAGCCCTGACCACTCCTGGCTCGTCTGGGCCTGGTCTCTCTCTCCCTCGCCTCCCCTCTCTGGCTTCCTCCCGGCTTTCATACCCCTGGCTAATGAGGCTGGCAGGTGCAGCCAGTTACCAGGCAGGCCCAGGGCTATTCAACCAGCCTCCATCCCTTGATGGGGACTGGGGTGGCAGGGGGGCTGATGAAGTGCTTCTCACTCAGCACCCTGCCACACTGGGTAGCATAAAAGGAATCCCCTTCCTCCTCAGACACAGGTATTGTGGCCACACCTCCTTTGCTTGGATGGAGGCAGTGATAGGTACCAGTCAGCCTTGGCTCAGCAGTCCCTGGAGAGGTGCCAAACACATCTGTCCCCGGAAGAGCAGAGCGAAGGTACAAAAAACATGTGCCAGTAGCCAACCCAGCAGCAGCTCCAGGAACACAGGCACACCTGAGCCATCAGGAGCTTATCAGGAGCTCAATAAAGTGCTAACTGGGACTCTTCAATGCACCAGTGCGATCAGGGGTCACCTGTAATGTGACCCCTGTAATGTCTCAGAGCTGAGACACGCCCGAGCATGTTCCACTGTGACTGAGGGACTAACCCCAGCCCCAGTTGCTGTTTAACTTCTGCAGAGCCCTGCCCTGGGCGGCTGGGCAGACAGGGCGCATCCGCAAGGAGCTCACAGGCATCCACAAGGGGCCCTGATAAACCACACGGTCTGTGGCAATGCACAGGGCAGGGCATGAGACAATCACGGTTCTGTTGTGGGGCTCACCATGTTTGCACCCTGATAAATTCACAGATTGCAGGGAATTTACTCCCGATTTACACCAGCACAAGACAGGGCATTCTCAGGCCCAGCATTTCTGCACTGCACTTGCTGATGAAATAGCTGAAAACTGACTCCCTGCCCCTGCTCCTGAATCAACAGTAAGGTGATTGGGCAACAAAATGGCAGATGAAACTAACGTTGACAAATGCAGAGTAATAATGAGCATTGGAAAACCTCATCCCCATTGTACGTATACAATGATGGGGTCTAACTTAGCTGGTACCACTCAAGGTAGGTTTTCATAGAATCACAGAACTGGAAAAGACTTCAGAAGTTAGAAGAATAACTTCAAAAGACTTATTAAAGCCATTCCGTACATCACATGGAGTCACTGCAAAAGAGGTTTGCTAGCCATCTAGGTTGTATCTTCCTGGGCCCGAAGGTTGCTGGAAATTATATTTATCCAGTTGCCTCTCTCAAGGCTGCAATTGAACATGGGTTTACTTGTGCATACACAAGCTACAAATTATACCCATCAAGATGTGAAATACCATGCAGCTAAGCCCAAAATACTGCTCTTAAGAACTAAACCTGAGGAGGGCCTGTTTACTCTGAAGCACAGAGAAAGGATCTCTAATTGCCCTGCAATTCTCAGGACGCCACATATCACCTGGGCAGCACAGACACAAGATAACATCACCTAACAGAGAGTAACCTGTGCAAACCAGCTCCACATTGGCTAACCAACAGCTCCTCATCCATCTTTGTTAAAGTAACTAACTGGCTATTAATGGGATTTACATCCAGTAAACTTTCTGCTCCCCTGCCCACCCAGCTTGCTGGCGCTGGTCTTACTCGTTTGTAAGTGTGTCCCCTACCATCTCTGCATTTTCTTCCCTCCTCCCCTTCCCCACAGAGCGCTCTTCCTTAACTGACCCATTAGGCTACTAACGTCTTCTTCAAATCCCACCAATGATGGCAAGGTTGAGGGGTTAACCACTTACAATTGCAAAGGTGCACAAAGGCTGCATAATTCGATCATTTCCTTTTCCTTCCACCCTTTGTATGTCACTAGGCCTGGATGATCAACTCAGTGGGGCAGGGGACTGGACTCGATGATCTCTCAGGTCCCTTCCAGTTCTAGTGTTCTATGATTCTATGACTCAAGAGATCATCACGTCCAGTCCCCTGCACTCGTGGCAGGACCAAGCTCCCTCTAGACCGTCCCTTGACATCTTGAGAGCCATTATGGAGCGTTCTCTGAAAATATCCACTCAATGGGCAGCAGCCATCAAAAAGTGAAGAGAATGTTGGGACTCATTATGAAAGGGGCAGAGCGTAACACAGAAAATATGACACCTCCATGTAAACCCAGGGCACACCCACACCTTGACTAGGGTGTGTATATCTGGTTGCCCCATCTCAAAAAAAGATGTATTGGAATTAGAAAAAGTTGAGAAAATTACCCCACAAATTACCACAAGTAGGGAACACCTTCCATCTGAGGAGAGATTAGTAAGACTGGGACTTTTTGGCTTGGAAAAGAGACGACTAAGGGAGGATATGATCAAGGCCTATAAAATCAGGACAGGTGGGGACAAAATAAATAAGTATTATTTACTCCACACAGCACAAGAACTAGGGGAAACCAAATTCAATTAAGAGGCAGCAGGTTTAAAACAAAGGAAAGTGCTTCACACAATGCACAGCCCGCCAGTGGATGTTGTGAAGACCAAGACTAGAAGAGGGTTCAGAAAAGAACTAGGTACGTTCATGGAGGACAGGTCCATGAAGGGCTATTCGCCAGGATGGGCAAGGATGCAAAACTATGCTCTGAAGTGTCCCTGGCTCTCTGTGGGCACCACCCCTCATCCCTCCTGCCAGTGCAGGGTTTCCCCACACTCATCACCCTCTCTGTGGCCACAAAACAGGCTCCCCGGTCCCATCACAGCCAGCCAGCCAGGAGGCTGCCTCCCTGTGTTCTCCGGGATTCACTCTCCAGCCAGGGCACGTGCCCATCTCCTGCCACGGACAAGCCCGGTACTCACGGCTTGGGATTCTGCGTGAGCTGCTTGATGACCTGGCAGTAAACCTCATCGCGCAGGTTCTCCTTCTCCTTGCAGAGCTGCAGAGGGGAGCCCAACATCAGAGGGGCAAGAGCTCCAAGTCTCATATCCCAGGGACTCTCAGGGCCTCCCCAAAATCTACCCAGGGGTTCCCATTCACTGGCCTCTGAGACTTCCTGAGACTGGGGCCAGCTGGCCCAGCAGGGACTGGAGTCCACATGTCTATGGAGAGATGCCCAAGGAGGTGAAATCATGGGTTCTCCTTCTCCCCAACCCCTATTCAGATTCCACCTCTCCCCCGGAGGAGGCCATGGCCCGGATTTCTGACCACACAGCCCTGTTCCCTGGAGAGCCTCGCTCATGGCTTCCATTTCCCTTCAGCCCCCTGGCCCGTTCCCCATGGGAGGAACACACACCTTAAGAATCTCATAGACACAATCGATCTCGGGCTGGCTCTTGAGGGTTGGCTGGTCTCCCATGAACCTCATCAAAGCTGCAAGGCAGGAGCCAACAGGGTTGGCCCCCTGCCGCTGACCCCAGATCCCTGGCCCCGCTATTCTCTTGGGCTGCCTTGGCTGGGGGAAGAGACAAGGTAGGGGCGGAGCAAGGACAGGGCGGAGAGAGCGGGGGAGAGGAGAGGCAGGGCCTGGGGTGGCATGGGGTTGTACCGGCCCTAACCCAGCGGGAGGGAAGTCACATGGCCCCCCAAGCCCCTCACCAAGTGCCTCTGGCCATGACTAGCAGGGTCGTGGTGGTCAGAGATGGGAATGCTCTAGGCTCCCCCTCCCCAAGGGCAGCGACTTACTCATGAAGCTCCTTGTCGCCAGCTCGTTGGTCTCGGTGTCGGAGTAGGGGACTGAGAGGGGACATGATAGAGGCTTTAAGGTATTTAAAAGGGTGTCACAAGGAAGAGGGAGAAAAATTGTTCTCCTTGGCCTCTGAGGATAGGACAAGAAGCAATGGGCTTAAACTGCAGCAAGGGAGGTTTAGGCTGGACATTAGGAAAAACTTCCTGCCTGTCAGGGTGGTGAAACACTGGAATAAGTTGCCCAGGGAGGTTGCGGAATCTCCATCTCTGGAGATATTTAAGAGCAGGTTAGATAGACACCTATCAGGGATGGTCTAGATGGTACTGGGTCCTGCCATGGGGCAGGGGACTGGACTCGATGATCTCTCAGGTCCCTTCCAGTTCTAGTGTTCTATGATTCTATGACTCAAGAGATCATCACGTCCAGTCCCCTGCACTCGTGGCAGGACCAAGCTCCCTCTAGACCGTCCCTTGACATCTTGAGAGCCATTATGGAGCGTTCTCTGAAAATATCCACTCAATGGGCAGCAGCCATCAAAAAGTGAAGAGAATGTTGGGACTCATTATGAAAGGGGCAGAGCGTAACACAGAAAATATGACACCTCCATGTAAACCCAGGGCACACCCACACCTTGACTAGGGTGTGTATATCTGGTTGCCCCATCTCAAAAAAAGATGTATTGGAATTAGAAAAAGTTGAGAAAATTACCCCACAAATTACCACAAGTAGGGAACACCTTCCATCTGAGGAGAGATTAGTAAGACTGGGACTTTTTGGCTTGGAAAAGAGACGACTAAGGGAGGATATGATCAAGGCCTATAAAATCAGGACAGGTGGGGACAAAATAAATAAGTATTATTTACTCCACACAGCACAAGAACTAGGGGAAACCAAATTCAATTAAGAGGCAGCAGGTTTAAAACAAAGGAAAGTGCTTCACACAATGCACAGCCCGCCAGTGGATGTTGTGAAGACCAAGACTAGAAGAGGGTTCAGAAAAGAACTAGGTACGTTCATGGAGGACAGGTCCATGAAGGGCTATTCGCCAGGATGGGCAAGGATGCAAAACTATGCTCTGAAGTGTCCCTGGCTCTCTGTGGGCACCACCCCTCATCCCTCCTGCCAGTGCAGGGTTTCCCCACACTCATCACCCTCTCTGTGGCCACAAAACAGGCTCCCCGGTCCCATCACAGCCATACAGCCAGGAGGCTGCCTCCCTGTGTTCTCCGGGATTCACTCTCCAGCCAGGGCACGTGCCCATCTCCTGCCACGGACAAGCCCGGTACTCACGGCTTGGGATTCTGCGTGAGCTGCTTGATGACCTGGCAGTAAACCTCATCGCGCAGGTTCTCCTTCTCCTTGCAGAGCTGCAGAGGGGAGCCCAACATCAGAGGGGCAAGAGCTCCAAGTCTCATATCCCAGGGACTCTCAGGGCCTCCCCAAAATCTACCCAGGGGTTCCCATTCACTGGCCTCTGAGACTTCCTGAGACTGGGGCCAGCTGGCCCAGCAGGGACTGGAGTCCACATGTCTATGGAGAGATGCCCAAGGAGGTGAAATCATGGGTTCTCCTTCTCCCCAACCCCTATTCAGATTCCACCTCTCCCCCGGAGGAGGCCATGGCCCGGATTTCTGACCACACAGCCCTGTTCCCTGGAGAGCCTCGCTCATGGCTTCCATTTCCCTTCAGCCCCCTGGCCCGTTCCCCATGGGAGGAACACACACCTTAAGAATCTCATAGACACAATCGATCTCGGGCTGGCTCTTGAGGGTTGGCTGGTCTCCCATGAACCTCATCAAAGCTGCAAGGCAGGAGCCAACATTAGATTGAGACTGGCTGGGTGGAAGGTGGGGCTGGAAACCTGGTGTGTGGTTGATTCCTGGTGCGTCCAGGGGCAGGGGTGTGGGTCCAGACACTAGAACACAATCTCATCTCCGGTGCAAGTGCAGACTTGTGTTTTGGTGGCTCCAGTGCCAGGGGTGATGCGTAGGGGGGCACAAGGGGTTACATGCCCCCAGACATCCTGGGCAGGGAGAGCCGCCCAGCAGCAACGACCAGCCCCTTCTAGGCACCAGCAGGGGGAGCAGACCAAGGTGTCCCCAGCTACTTTGCTCTCCTGGCCACACCACTCGGGGCAAGGGTGGGACCGGCCGGCGCTCCCCAGCGAGGGCAGAGCAACGCAGCCAGGGGAGCAAAGCAAGCCCGGGCTGTTGCTGCTCTTGCCCCGCTGCTGCCAGTGAATGTGGGGGTGGAGTCAGACCTCTGCTGCCAGTGAATGGCCCCACTCGTCTCCTCCCTGTGGCTGCATCACTCAGGGAAAGGGAAGAAGTAGGGCAGGGAGGGGTGACGTGACTGGCTTTCCCCCCATTCCTCTTCATCAGTCACCTCTGTCTTGTATCACAGTCAGAGCTCTTCCAAATGGCTCCAACCAATTCCTTCATCATTCGATACAGCTGCACCTAACACAATGATACTGCAGGACGGTAATTGCTGGGGCTAAGGATCATAGAATCCTAGGGCTGGAAGAGACCTCAAGAGGTCATCGAGTCCAGTCCCCTGCCCAAAGGGGCTGTTAAGGACCAGTCAATTATCTGATAAGCATTTGCGTAGCCCCCTGCCGAGCCAGAGCAGAGCAGGGTGACTGGCTGGCCTTGCTGGGAAGCGCAGGCAGCACAGGAAATCCCTGCGTGGCCAGCGCATCCTGCAAGTACAGGGAGTCCGGCCTGCCAGCCCCTGCCCCCAAACAACCCCCCCAATAAACACACCACCCCGGCTGGGGCAGGGGCAGGGGCAGGCGGCCCCTGGGCTGAAGTTCCAGCTTCAGTCTCCCTCTCCTTCCCCAACCCCCAAATACACCCACCTTGGTGTGCTCGACCAGGGCAGCTGGGTTCCTCCTCTCCGCGCTCACCCCCTTCAGTCCTGGCCTAGAGAGAGGGGCATATGTTTGGCAGAGGAGACGCCCACCGCTCCCTCTGCAGAGGCAGGGCTGCATGCGAGGGCACACACCCATGCACACACACACGTGTGTGCAGAAGGGGCCCAGGTACTCACGTGGACTGGGCCTCCCGGAAGTGCACCGTGGCAAACTCCACCATGGTGTAGTGGTCGGCATCCGGGGCGAAGACAGCGTAGGGGGTTTCCGGTTCCAGGCTGAGGACCAAGCTCTGAGGGGGCAGATACCAGACCCGCCACCGATGTTAGCCTCCCCACCACCAGTCAGCATCACCCCTCCCCAGGTGTCCTTTGTAGGACCCTCTCCCTTCCCAGGTGGGTCCCCCTGCCCTTCCGGGTCTAGTTAAGATGCTAATCTGTTCCCCTGGCCACTGGATCTGAGCACCTCACAGCCAGGGTTCCCGGTAAGCTGGGTGCTTGTGCGGCCACTCACGAGAGATTCAAATGCCGCCCAGCTGATTAACAGAACACCCATGGCGGGACTTTTTCATTTTTATTGGTCGTGCGCATTCACACGGGCCTCAGTGCACATAACATTTATTCTGCACATGGGTGGAAAAGATTAGCGGGAACACGGCTCACAGCCTTTAAGGTGCGGAAGGACTGTGCTCCTACCTGCATAATTCAGAGGGTGACCTGAGACACAGGGGGCTAAGTGATTCAACCAAGATCACACAGGCAGTCTGCAGCAGAGTAAGAGACTCAACTGGAGCCTACCAAGCCTTGGCTGGTGCCCCAACCACTAGACCATCCTTCCTCTCATCTGTACAACTCTATTTCCATCTGGGTGTCAGTCACTGGCAGGACCCTCCCCCTGGATACCTCCCTCTGCCTGGCTGGAGAATGTCACCCATAGCCATTCCAGAGCCAGCTGTGGCTCCCCATCCCACCAGAGGCCTCACCTCTCTGCTAGCACTCGTCTCCAGCTTGTCTCTTTTCACTGTGGGTGTTGTGGTAAGTAGGGGCTGCCGCAGGCTGCACCATGCTAGCGGGGAAGAGGCCGGAGCGGCCGCCAATGGAGCCGAACTGCCAGCCTGCCAGAGGTCGGTACAAATGAGCACAACGGCATCCGGGAGAGAGCGGGTCCCCCCATCCGGCTACACCTCAGGGCTTTACAGGCTGGACGGAGCTGCACAGCTCCCCCGGGGTAACTCCCCTGCCATGCGGGTGGGGAAACAGGCACAGAGCGGGGATGTGTCTTTCCCGGCGTCGCTCAGTAAGAGCCGGGCAGGAGGGTGGCAGGTGATGATGGAAAGGGCCCTAGAGGGTCTCCCTGGTATCCCATTGGGTGGGGCTCTGCCGGTTCTGATATTAGGCGGGGGCAGTCCAGCCCTAACCCTCCTCTCGCCTGGGTCTGGTTTGGTTCCCCATATTACATAGAGGAACAGCCCCCGCGTGGCGCCAAGTCCAGGCCCTGCCACTTGTGTCGACTCCCACTCTGCCCAGCTCAGATCCACGCACTCACCCGGCTCCAGCCCCTGCATGGGCAGTAACAGGATGAGGTCATTCTTCTTGAAGCTCAAGAGGCTCTTGTCATCCGTGACGTAGCTGCGCAGAGCGATAACGTAGTCGGAGTCCTGCAGGGGAAGGGGCAGTGACAGGGCAGCCTGCGGCACGTTACCGGGCGGGGCCCCCCCGCCCCCCCTGCCGCGCCTCCGCCGCTCCCTCACCTGCTTCAGCTCCTGGAGGAAAAGCTCCACCATGGCCTTGACCTGCGGGGCCTTCGCTGAGTGTAGGATCAGCTGCTCGTTCTTCATGGAGAACTCCAGGCTGTGGCTGCCCTTCAGCTCCACTAACAGCACGTCTGCAAAACTGAAAACGACCAAGCACGCTCCAGCCACCGGCACCGCCCCACACGTGTATCACCAGGGTGACCAACAGCAGGAAGGCTGCTCAGTGATTCGCTAGCATCACAATCCCGTGTGCTACTGCCCCGGGAGGAGGAAAGACTCAGACCTTGCACACGAAACACAAGGCCCGGGACAGGGAGAGGCCTGGAAGGAAACTCAACAGCCTCAAACCTTTGACAGGGCTGGCCCACAAAAATCACCCCCAGCAGCCGAGCGGCATGCGACCAGTAGCCGTGTGCAGACAGGTCGCCTCTTCTGACCTGAGACCCTCTGCAGGTACCACCCGCCTGTCTCCTGCTGCAGGCACAGAGCTCTGCCTGCCAGTGCTGCAGAGCACGTTCTATATGGCCCACGAGGGCAAAGCCAGAGCTGACCGACAGCCCATCAGTGGAGCAATGGCCCAGCCCTGCCGCCTTGCAGGACCCAGGCTCTGCAAATCTAAGCCCTAAAACTGGCTCCTCCCAAAGGCACCTCTGGGCCTGGCCCCTCACCTGTACTGGCCAAGGGTTTTCAGGTATTTCGGGCTGAACCCGGGCTCGTTTGCCATCTTCAGCAGCCGGAGTCCCCGGTGAGAAACACCCAGGAGCTTCACGTCACTTCCGTGTTCCCCCTGAAAGAAAAATCCGCCCAGAGGCAGGTCTTTGCCACAAGCCCCCAGCAGAGACCTTAGCATGGGCCCCGTCTGAAAGGACGCATCTGAGGAGACCTGTCCTGCCAAACGTACAGATGACAAGGCACTGCCTGGCCTCAGGGGACTGTTCTACACCAGCCTGACAACCAACAGGCCCAGCAGATACAGGCAGAGGCCAACAGACGGGAGTCAGTGAGGCGGACGGGGGCATGCTGGTGGAACGGACTCGCAGGCAATGAGGGGATAGCAGGCACCATGCACAGCACCAGGGCAGGGGGAGGTGTGAGAATCGCAGGGAGGGAGGTGAACAGACAGACAAGGAGAAAAAGACAAATGCTCAGAACGGGACAGGGAAAGCAAGGCACGGACAAGCGAAGCGAGAACATGGAATTACGGGAGTCAGGACACGTATGACGGATGGGCAGGGATTCAAAATGAGCCAGAGCTGCAGAATCTGGGTTTTTAATACCCTACAGTGGGAAAGGTTTGGCAGTGGGGATTGTACACACACTGAGCTGGGCCTGTGTTTGAATTTGCATTCCCTAATTATCCCTAAATTCACGGGGGTGTCTGCTGATCCAGGGCTTGGGTTTGGAGCGAGACAGACTTACCTTGACTGGGAAGAGCCGGGAGAAATAATTGGCCCAATTATCTCTGGGTTTTTAATACCCTACAGTGGGAAAGGTTTGGCAGTGGGGATTGTACACACACTGAGCTGGGCCTGTGTTTGAATTTGCATTCCCTAATTATCCCTAAATTCACGGGGGTGTCTGCTGATCCAGGGCTTGGGTTTGGAGCGAGACAGACTTACCTTGACTGGGAAGAGCCGGGAGAAATAATTGGCCCAATTATCCCGAGCAGCCACCACAATCCTCTTCTTTATCCCGTCCTCTAGACTGAAGGAGGCCTCCTTGCCGACCCGGAACTCCGCTGCCGGGAACAGAAAGCAGCTCTGTCACCAAAGGCAGGCCCGGCCCCCCCCAGCCGCTAGGAGTTAGCACACTGATGGTGCTCAGGCAGAGAAGTGCTCTACCAACGGCGGCTTCAGAGATTGGGATCCTGAGGTGAATTTTGCAGTTGGAGCCACCACAATGGGACCACCTGGTCCCCGCCCTGCTCTGTTCCCAGCTATGGTGACAAGCTCTGACCCTGGACACCAGGACGCCCTTCTTGGGACCAGTGCGACTGGCTTTCCTCACAGCAAGCACTTCCCTTGCCCCTTCCTGCCACTGCTGGTGCCTCTTTCTGACTAAGGAAGCCCCCCATGTCTGAACACACCCTGCTCCAGCTCCCTTCCCACCAGCACAATCCCCAAAGCCAGCCTGCCTCTGCTGAGGTGCGAGGCTCAGGGTCGACACTCCAGTGCAGGTCAGCACAGAGACCCCCTCAAAGCCCGCTCCATCCAGTGAGGCTCCCATTGAGGTAACAGAAATAATGGGGACAGCCTGGGGCCAGGAGGCCAAGCTTCTATTTAGGCCTTGCCGCCAATTCACGATGCAGCCTTGGGCAACGCTATGTTCCTGCTCTGTGCCTCAGTTTGCCCACCTATACAAGGGGGCTAAAACGTCTCTGGGTCACAGGGCTGCCGAGATTAGTTAATGTTCCCAGACTGCTTTGCAGATACAAATGTACTATGTAAATACCGAGCTTCCTGCTAGTGTCAATACAGCTCTTGCTTCCTGTAGCATCAGCCACGCCAGGCTCTGCCATGTAACCCACCCGCTGCCAGGAGCTCTGTATCCCTGCCAGGGGCAAGAACCAAGCCACCAGTTACCCAACAAGTCTTTCATCTTGAGCCTCTCCTCCTTGGAGATCCGGATGCAGGACTCAGAGTAGGTGTCTTTCATGATCTGCAGGGGAACCGAGCAAATGGGATTTCATTGGAGATGCCTCCAAAACACACCCGCACGGTGGAGTCTTGGAAGCAGCATGCAAGCTAGAGGCTCAGGAAGGACAGAGCAGGTACATGGCTTGGGCAGATACGGGCAAGGGACCAAAGTTGTTAATGAAGACAAGGAGGCAGCATGTTGGAGAGACTAGTGAACAGAGGATGGAATGGGACACCTGTGTGCACATGCACGCACACACTTACCTGCACACACACACACACACACACACACACACACTTACCTGCACACACACACACACACACTTACACTTACCTGCTCACACAGCAGGTTCAAGTAATACGGGTGACTGAAGTTTTCTTTGGGATAAAACACCTGCAGCAAACACAAGGGAACCATCACCAGCATTAGACTTGAAGAGCAGCTGTCACAGGGGAGCTGTTTGTGACCCAGCTGTGCTACCAGAGACAAAGGGCCGGCATCCTGCGTCACCCTGGGACAGAGCCAGCAGGGAGCCGGAGGAGAAAGGGTTGTCACCAAAGCCGCAGAGCAATGGCAGACGCCTGGCTGTCTCAGCACATGCTCAGCTTCCACATGTGCTTCTGTTAATGGCAGAATCAGAGGGCTCCGGATGGAGGATCAGTCAAGCCACCTGGGCTCATCCAGGCACCATGCTGGCGAGGGCTTGGAGAAGGCAGCATCCCTTGGTTCCAACACTGACCTGGGACCGTCCCCAAGCCCTGCCTGCAGGTCTGCGCGAGCCCAGCCCTCCTCTTGTGTGGGTCTATTTCCCTGACATGCTGGGTTACAACGTGGCAGATGGGACGTCCAGGATCCAGGAAGGAAGAGGCTGCTCACAGAAACAGCTCACTTCTCTATATGTGCCTTCCCCATTGCACGTATTTTACAAAGGCAGGCACCCACATGTGGGGAAACTGAGGCACAGAATGGGGCAGTGGCTTGCCAGGGACAAGTAGCAAGCTGGAACAGGGGATGTGGGTCCTGATGCCCCATTCAGGGCCTTCCCTGCTCACTGGGTCATGTTGGGCATTCACTGCAGCTGGTTTTGGACTGTGTCTGGCACAGCCAGGCTTCCGTATAGTGCCTGCACCATTCCCCTCCAGTTGACACCTCTGGCAGGGGGCGCCCCGCGCCCATACCTCTTTGCGTAGGAAGAATTTCCAGGGTGTGGCAGCATACGAGAAGCTGACGCTGGCAGTGAGCTTGTAGAACTGCGTCTTGATGCCGGCTTCTTCTTCTGCCAGGTCCCGAGCAGTGCCTGGAGGGGGGAGAGGGCAGTGAGGGGAGCTCTGGGCACCGTGGGAGTGCTGCGGCCCCAGCCACAGACTCCCAGGACAGGAGGGCGGCGTGCAACATCTCGAAGGGCCACGTTGTCAGAAATCACTGGCCAGCCTGTGCTTGCTGCACATGGGACAGGGCGCACACAGTGGGCCATGGCATGGCTGACCGTCACACCTGGCAACGTGTACATATGGGACTCCCTAGGCAAAGTCCATCCCAGGGGAAGAAATGAGGAACTTGAGAGGCAGGCAATTCCAAGTTCCAGGTGGAACAGCTGCCCTCGTGCGCTTACCCACTGGAATATGGCCTCACTTTATGCCATTATAAAATGATTGGTTGTCGAATGATCTAACAGAAACACTTATACAATCTTCCAGACCAGTGTGGTATGAAATTAATAGGTAGCAGATTTAAAACAAACAAAAGGAAGTACTTCTTCACACGACACACAGTCAACCTGTGGAACTCCTTGCCAGAGGATGTTGTGAAGCTCAGGACTTTAACGGGGTTCAAATAAGAACTAGATAAATTCATGGAGGATAGGTCTATCAATGATTATTAGTGAGGACAGGTAGGAATGGTGTCCTTAGCCTCTGATTGTCAGAAGCTGAGAATGAGTGACAGGAGAGGGATGATTACGGGTTCTGTTCATCCCCTCTGGGGCACCTGGCATTGGCCACTGTCAGCAGACAGGATACTGGGCTGGATGGACCTTTGCTCTGACCCCGTATGGTTGTACTTATGAGGGGCTGTCTTTCACAACAGAGCAATTTCAACCCCCAACGGGCTGTTCCATGATGATCACCAAGCAGGGAGCTGGGCGTGGAGGGAGTGTTGTAAGTGTTTCAGGACAAGGGGCATGCTTCTTTACAGTAATGACCGTGCTTTGCACCAGATTAACACACTCCCCACAGAGGACCATAAAGTACTCGATGAATATTTATGAATGCGGGCTCCTGTTGCAATCCAAGGCAAAGCCCCCATAGAATTCAGTGAGCACATCTGTAAGGATCACCCCTTTGTATAGCCCGAGAGTGAGCCCACCCAGCAAGCAAGACCGTGCCCAAACCATGTGGACCGTAGAGGCACAGCTATGGATTTGCCACATCACTGAGCACTGTAGCTATGGCAACCTAAGCTTTAAGGGCAGACCAGCCCTAAATGGCCAGGCCTGGATAGAGCCTAGCTGCGTCTCTGAGGCCTAAGGCCCATCCGTGGCCGCGCCACCAGAGCACAGTGGGCCATGGCCCACCCACTTGTCATCCAGGCCCACCCACAGCGCCCTCTGCCCTGCTCAGCCGGGCTGGGGCTCTTGCTGGGGAGCAGGGTCGGGGTGCAGGGGCTTGCCCAGCTCCGCCTACCAGGAGGTCCAGGCGTGGGGCGTGCCAGCTCTTCCCTTCCAGGGCTCCAGCTGTGGAGCCCACCTGCGCCCCGAGCCCACTCCCCAGGCAGTGCTGGGTGGGCGGAGTGAAGCAATGCTGCCCCGATCCTGTTCCCCAAAGGGAGTGCCTCACAGATCAGGCTAGCCCCAGTCCCACTCCCCCGCTGTAGTGCTGGAGATGAGGAGAGGTGGCCCCAATGGTTGCTGCCCTGCCCTCCTGTCCTTGCCCCCCCCCACCCTAAATCAGGGCCCAGTCTGCCTACGCCACTGCTCTGCCCTATCCGCTCAACAATGCTGCTCTCAGACTTGCCAGAATGCTTGGGAGTGGGCTGTGAGGCTGGGGCCTGGCCCCTGGGGAGGGCTTGGAAAGGCAGGATCCCTGTGCCAGGATCCAAAGTCCATCACCACGCTTCCTGCACTTTGATAACGAGTCTCAGACTGAAACTGGGCTGGACTTTGGCAGAGTTTCAGCCCAAAGGTCCTTTCCTTAGCTGCGGTGGTAAGATCTGCTCAGCCCTTCTGCCTTCCCTCCCAGCTGCCGTGCAAAGCACATTCAGTGCTGGCCCAAGGGGCCCCGTCCACAGCGCTGGATGGTGACCCCTTGTTTTACCCACAGCAGTCACGAGACTCCCTGGCACCGCATGGCTGGAGCAGAAGGGCTGCTCTGTGGGGCACAGGCTGGTTCTGGGCCCATGGCCCGTCCAGTCCCGGCCGTTCGGCTGACTTCGCACGCGTGGCCAAGTGCCCACTGGGAACGAGGGGGAGGCCCAGCAAACTCGTGCCGCACGGAAAGGCTGTGGAAGAGAAGGCCCCCGCTCACCCTTCAGCTCTGGCCGGAGGGGGTGGAGCCCCTTTGGGGCTCTTCTCTGGAGAGGATGCCTGGGAGCAGGGAGAGAAAGGTTTTAGATACAGCCATACGCCACCGCTGTGGGTTCAGGGGAGGGTGCTGAGGGGCCCCGGGGCAGAAACCTCATTGGCAACAACATGAAGCCTCACAACCAGCAGCCAGGTGACAGACAGACAGACGTCAATTGCAGCCCACGTGCATTAGGGGTGGAGCCACCCGCAGCACTGCGGAAAGAGGCATCCCCTTGCCAAGACCCCCAGGCCACCCATACGCCACCGCTGTGGGTTCAGGGGAGGGTGCTGAGGGGCCCCGGGGCAGAAACCTCATTGGCAACAACATGAAGCCTCACAACCAGCAGCCAGGTGACAGACAGACAGACGTCAATTGCAGCCCACGTGCATTAGGGGTGGAGCCACCCGCAGCACTGCGGAAAGAGGCATCCCCTTGCCAAGACCCCCAGGCCACGCCAGCGCCGGGTGGGCAGCTCTCCCCAGGCTGGTCTCTGCCGAGGTCAGTCCTGCACACATGCTAATGTGCATCTTGCAGCCAGGACCCCGGGGCCTCCCACCACAGATCTCCAAGGGCTTTACCAATGAGCATTAGCGACCCATAACCCATCCTACCAAGGAAGTGCTATAGCTAGGCAGGTTGGGTGACTTGCCCAAGGCTACACAGCCAGCCAGCGGCAGAGTCAGGAGTCCTGGCTCCCAGTTCTCTCCTCTGACCACTAGACTGTAAGCTGGAGGATGCTGAAGCCAGAAGAGCACCTGTGCTGGCGTGGGAAGGGCTCACCGAATTTGGGGGCTCCAGGCTTATAATCCCCAGCTTGGTCAGCGCTTCGTTCTTGGGGTCATTCTTCTTCAGGAAGGTCTTGGACGGCCTCCTGCAGGGCAAGAGGGGACAAACCGGCCCAGTTTAGCGCCCAGGGCTCACAGTGCTGCTGCAATCGCACAGAGAGCCCGGGGGACAATTCCTCCCTTCCCTGCCCGCCCCACCCCCTCACCTGACAGGCTCGATGGGCTGTGGCTCCGGGCCTGGACGGCTCTGGTACATCTTAATGATGTTGCGAATCTCCCGGCTGGGCTCTCTCTTTGGTGGCCGAAAGGCAGCCACCCCAGGGTGCGGTTCCTTCTCCTTCTTCCCTTGCACTTTCTGCTTTGGTGCGGGAGGGGGCGCCGGGGGCTCAGCGGCTGCAGGGCAGGAGGGCATTTACCAATGGAGCCGGTGGGAGCTGCACAAGAGAAACCCCCTTCTGCCACTAACAGTTGCTTCCTGTGTCCTGCCCCCTGCTCCAGGGCTCCAGAGCCCTTGGCTCCATCACTTTTTCCTAGCTACCCTCCTACCCAAAGCCCTTGTCCTGGCCCTCCCTGATCCGCGGCTTCATTCCAGGCCAGGACTGCGAGAGGTTGAACAGGGAACACGCATGCAAGTCTGTACAACTGAGCGGGAGACCAAGGCGGAGTTCACAGCCCCGGCCAACCAGGAGAGTGACAGGGAAAGGCTGTCCAAAGCCTGAGCAGAGCAGGGAGAGACAAGGGAAAGGCATCGCATCTGGGTGTTACTCAGAGGCCTACAGAAAAGTTCCCAGATCAGATCTTCCAGATCAGAAAGATCGCTGCCACCAATGTTCCCTCCAATGTTTTCCCTCCATGTGCAGATCTGTTCTACCCATGTGCAGAATAAATGTTTATGTGCAGAGGCACATGGGATTGTGCACCAAAAAACCTCGCCATGGGCTCTCTGCTGATCAGCTGGGTGGCATCTGAATCTCTCCTAAGCGGCCGCACAAGCGCCCAGCTTACAGGGAACACAGCTGCCCCTATCTTGCCCTGTCACTGACAACTGCAGGAGGCCCCAGCTGCAGTGGGATCAGCATGTTTCCACTGAGCCAGAATAGGGGGACAGCAGGATTTCTGGGGTCCCCAGCCATGGAGCGCGAGGACTCCCCGGCACAATTGGGTGGGGTGGAGCTGCCAACACATAGTTCAAGGGCCTCTCTGCTGCTCTGTGGGCTGCAAGGAGGGGTCTGTGGGCCAGGGGGAGGGCATGGGTAGGGTCCAAGTAGGGTCCTCAGACTATGGTGAGAGTTTGGAGTATAAGGAAACAGGCTCTGTGCAGGTGCTCAGCCCCTAGGGTCTGGCCATGCATTAGAAGAGCTGCCGGAGTCTCACCCCGCCCCCCCCTCGGCCCACTGCCTCACCTCTCTCTGGTTCTGGGCTGGACCTCTCTTCCGCCGGCTGTGCATTTCCTGGAGGGGTCCTTGCAGAGCTCTTGGAAGGGGACCTGGCTTTCTTCACCCGGATGTTTTGCTCTCCTGAAGAGAGGAGGACCCGGGGGGTGAGCACAGAGCAGGCAAGATCTGTCTGGGCCCGGAGTGCCAGGCCCTGTGCTTGCTACCCTGCTGCTGCGTGGGGGTCACATCCCCAACAGGAGACACACATGCTCCCAAACCCAACAGGAGCCCCCAGGAAACCTACGAGCCACCCGCGCAGAACCAGAACCAGAACCAGCCCAGCCTCTGCCCCAGGCTCTGCCCCGGCTCACAGAGGGCTGGGAGCGAGCTCTGCGCATCCAGCTCCCGGGCCGGGCTTCACGCTGCTGCCCTGGGAATGGCCGCAGGAACAGGCTGGCTCGCGCAAGAGGAGCTGGGTCCCAGCGCGGGTGAAATTCCCAGCCAGACAGTGGCTCACCCATTCGCTGGAAGTACTCCATCTTCCGCTGGAAGGTGTCTGGGGACACTGAGTCCTCGTCAGTGTCCGTCAGCTGCTCTTCTGGGTCAGCGTGCATCTAAAACAGCCCCCAACAAGCCCAGTTAGGACGGCAGGGGGACATGGGGTGTTTACTTCTGCCCTGGCTGACCCCAGAAGCCCCTTTGTGCCTCCCTCTCACACACACATTGAGATGGGGCCCAGTGGTGCCATTCAGATTCCAGTCCAGATCCAGAGCTTCCCCCAAATCCAGGAGTGGTTGGATGGATCAGCGTGCATCTAAAACAGCCCCCAACAAGCCCAGTTAGGACGGCAGGGGGACATGGGGTGTTTACTTCTGCCCTGGCTGACCCCAGAAGCCCCTTTGTGCCTCCCTCTCACACACACATTGAGATGGGGCCCAGTGGTGCCATTCAGATTCCAGTCCAGATCCAGAGCTTCCCCCAAATCCAGGAGTGGTTGGATGGATCCAGGCCTGGGACCCCTTTCAAAGTGTTTGTGCCAAGCGTGCTGTGAACACCCACCCCTAGGGACACTCCGCTCGCTAAGGGACCCTAAGGTGGGCCCAGAACAGAGGAGGGAGGCATGACAGAGGGCGAAACCCCTTTCCCCACCCCAAAGGCAGGTAAACTGCAAGGGACTCAGGCCTGGTCAGTGCTTACAACGTCGGTCACCCAGCTACACCACCCAGAGATCGGAAAAATCCACACGCCGGCGTGCGGCAGCCATGCTGACCTACTGCCCAAGGCGGACACAGCTAGGAGGGCAGAAGGATGCTGCTGTCAACGTAGCTACCACCGCCTGGGAGGTTGTGTGCCTACAGTGACGGAAAATCCCCGTCTGCCAGCCGGGGCTGCGTCTCCGCTACAGCCTGCCAATGTCACCACGGCGACGCCAGCCTAGTACCCGAGGCACAGACATGGCCTGAGTGTTGAGGCTTTTGACACTGCTGTCAGGGAACCGGCAGGGTGTGCCTGGGAACGGACTGGCAAACATGGCCGCTTCTTTGACGTCAGTGGCAAACCCGCCTGCCTTTGGCCCTGCCTCTTTAAACCTCAGGGAGTGACGTTAGACAGGACTCAGCACGGCACCTGCACACAACCCTCTGAGCAAGGTTCTCTGCCCCGCCCCCTTCGCTAGGCTACTGGCGGAGCCGGGGCTCTGTCACACGGAAACCCGGTCGCTGCTGGAGACACCTTGGCTGGTACCGGTTCTGCTGCGGCTGCTGGTGCAACCTTCTTGCTGTTATAGGTTTTCTTTGGTTTTGAAGCTGGAGCTGGAGCTGGAGCTGGAGCTGGAGCCGGAGCCGGGGCCGGGGCCGGGGCCGGGGCCGGGGCCGGAGCCGGGGGCGGGACTGCTCAGCAGGTATTTTCTTCCATGACAAAGAAGTTCAGACAATACTGCTGCTGCTGCTGCTGCTGCTGCTGCTGGGAAATCGTCATGGCCTGAAGGGTCATCTGCTGAGCCTGAAAGAAGAAATCCAAGTCTCCATGATCTCTGCGCACTCACACGCCGAAGCCTGGGCAGCCACCTCCATTCTTCCCCAGGAGACGCAGAGCCACTAAGCTCCTAACCAGCGCCATTAATGTAACCACGTTATGGGCTGAGGCAGCCCCACACCCCCCACTGCCCAGGCAGGCATGCTCCAGGAACCTTGGATCCCCACCATGCTGTCCACGGGGAGCTCTTGTTCCCTCAGAGGGCTAACGCGCTGTCGGGCACTAGGCTACGGAGTTAATGCACCTTGAGCCAGACAGAAAGAGAGGCTGCAGGATTTGCATGCCCAGTGACCTCCCATTTGGCGCCTCTGGTCTAGTGCTTAGAGCTGGGGGTTCCTGTGGTCTACCCTGGCTCTGCCACTCACCCACAATGTGGTCTTGGGCAAGTCACTTACCTGCTGCATGCCTCAGTTCCCCCTTCTGCACAGTGCAGATAAGAAGAATTCCCCACTGCACAGGGTGTGTATACACACACACACACACACACTGCACAGGGTGTGTATACACAAACACACACACCTCCACTGCACATGGTGTGTACACACACACATCCCCACTGCACAGGGAGTATACACACACACACACCTCCACTGCATATGGTGTGTACACACACACATCCCCACTGCACAGGGAGTATACACACACACACACCTCCACTGCATATGGTGTGTACACACACACATCCCCACTGCACAGGGAGTATACACACACACACACCTCCACTGCATATGGTGTGTACACACACACATCCCCACTGCACAGGGAGTATACACACACACACACCTCCACTGCATATGGTGTGTACACACACACATCCCCACTGCACAGGGTGTATACACACACACACACACACGTTAGGAAGAAGCTTGAGTGTGGTAGGGAAGAGTCCGCATTCACTCTGGTGCATTGTCTCCTCACAGACTTGCTCCCTCCCCCACGCCCTTGGCACGCACCATGAGCAGGGCCTGCTGGTTGATAAAGGCTTGTTGTGCTGCGAGCTGATTGGGATCCACAGCTGGGATCACTGGCTGAGGCGCCATCATGGCTGCGAGAGAGACACGAGATGATAATCGCAAGGCAAATGCAGCTGCCTGCCTGGGGGGGCAGGGAAGCCCCCAGCAGGCCCCTGCGCATTAGGCGGGGGACACAGAGGCGCGCAGGGTGCCTGCCGGTGGTGTCTGCACGCAGGGGCACATGGACATCACAGCTGGAGCCTGAGGTGCATGTGGCAGCCCCGAGCCCACCCCAGGGGTGCACCTCCAAACACACAAGACATTGCCCTGGCCCAGCCCAGGTTGGGTGATTAGATTCTGCCTCCTGCCCGGTCCATTGGATGCCGCACGTTCCCCACTTCCTGCTCTACACTGTTGTGTGGGGCTGTGGGACCGCCAGGCTCCAGCACAGAGGTGGCTGCATTTCAGGGGTGGCTGCTGCAATTCCTATCTGTTACTGGTAAAGCGCATCCCAGAGTAAGGGGGTGAGAAGGGGTCGCAGGGGCCATCTGAGCCTAACGATAAAGGTCCTGGGTAAATGAACTCACCCAGCGCCCACCCGCCCCTCAGTCCAAAGACCAGCCCCCCTGGGATTTACTGGGCCATTTTTGCATTCTGTTACCTGGCATGGGTGGCATCCCGCCTAGCGCTGGCATCATCGGCATGGGGGCTGCCATCATTCCACCCATCATTGGCATGGGCTGGTAAGCTGGGACTTGCATCAGTCCAGGGTAGCCTGGGGGAAAGATGCCACAAGGACAGTCGGCATGGTCAGTGACGCCCAAGGAGGAAAGCCCTGTCCAGCCCCAGGCAGACCCCCAGGCAGACCCGCTGGCACCGCTGATGTGTATGGAGCACGGTGGCATGGGATGGGACTTCCCATCACTCAGAAAGCACCACGGCAACACCCAGGCAGGAGGAAAGGGTCAGGACAGACCGAGCGGGAGGGGGCGCCTGGCAACTTGGCACACTGATGCCACTCAACAGCATGTTCTGGGCTCCGCCGCCTGCCCGGCCTCACTGTGCGCCCCTGGGCCCAGCCCAACCAGGAAGCTACTGAGGCCAAAAGCCCTGGTCTGCAGCATTTCTGTTTACAAGGGAGAATGTCTTCCGCTGACGGACAAAGCTCCTTGGACCTGCCACGTCCAGTGCGTTGGAAGCCCCCCTACCCCCAGCTGAAGCCAACACGGCTGAACTGGCAAAGAGCCCACGGCAGACACAGAACAGAGCCTCGGACAGGATGCCCGGGAAGAGTCCCCCCCTTGTTGGCATGAGCCCCTGCTGCGAACCGGGCTGTGAAACAGGAGGGCCCTTGTGCACAAAGCCTCCAGACTGTGGTCACGGCTAGAAAAGAATGGGGGGGGGGGGTTCCCTTCCTTCCACGGAGCCCCAGCGCAGTACACACCAACCCATTTCAAATACCACATGCCTCGCCCATTTGTGAAATAGCCATGGCTGGCAACTGGCTGCGCGGCCGTGATTTCTGACAGCCACAGCTATGTTCCCAAAATGGCCGGGCCCCAAGATCTGCAAGGGCCACGAATGCCCTGTCTCACAGATGTGCAATCATCAAGCTGCCCATATCTCTGCATCCCGAGTGTTGCCCCAGCCACGGGTATTCCCAGGGCCCACAAGTTCCTAACCACCGCCCAGCCATGCCCCACGAAGGTCTAACTGTCCCCCCCGGATGCCAAGCACACAGGCAAGAGGGGACGAGAGAGAGAGAGAGAGAGAGAGAAGAACGCACACACGCAAGAGCGAGGACCTGAGTATGGTTCCGACTTACTAACCCTCTGAATAGCTAGGGACGATGGGGAAGGCTGTGAGGAAACAATAAGAGAGATTAAAATCCTCCCCTCTGAGGCTGCCCAATGTGGAGTCTGCTGGGCTCCTCTACGGCTGTGGGAAGGGTTAAGGTGGGCCTGAGACGCTGATGTCCGTGGAGGTGGGTGCTTGGGGAGGGTTGGGATGGGGGAGGGACGAGCCGTCTCCAGGTTCGGTTGTTGGACTCCGAGCAGGAGGAGACATTCCGCGCAGGGACTCGGCGGTGCCGGGGGTGCAGGGCCAATCTGAGCGTCGCAGGCTCCCAAGGCATGAGCAGACCCAGTCCAGACCGCACTGGGAATCAGTCCTGGAGGCCAGCTGTCCTGCCCTGGCTCATACACCCCCGCGGCCCAGCAGCCGTCCCTGCCACGGCCTCACCACAGGCTGACCCAGAGATGCTCAGCCCCCCTACTGACCTGCAGAAGGAAAGGCTCCTTGCTGGGTGGGTCCGATCTTTCCTCCTCCTTTCATGCGTTCAGTCAGGCTCCTTCCATTCTCCAAACCCTACAGCGAGACCCAGCGTTACGCAGCTCCCCAGGACAGGGGGCGGGGTAGGGGACAGACAGTGTGTACAGCAGGACAGACAAGGGGAAAGATGCACGCTGGGATCACCTCTCCGCTCCACACTGAGCTGAGCTCCTGGGGAGGAACGTGCAGCCTGCCACGGGCACAAGGGACGGAAAGGCAGCGGCAGGCAGACAAGGGAGGAAGCGGCGTGAGACTTACGGGCACTCTGGACCCTTGGTGGAGCACAGGGTCGAAGAGGTTATCCACATAGTGCTCTAGGCCTTTGGGGGACCTCAGGCCACCCACTGCTCCTGGAGCAAACAGAGTCCAGTCACTAGTTAGGCGTGGAACAGCCCCCCCTCCTTTCCCCAGTGTCATTACACAGAATATGAAACCCCCCCCCCCACTCCCTGCCCCACTGAACGCTGCTGACTTCAGCCACCCGCTGGCTGGGGTCTGTGGCGGCTGACTCTTCCGAGTGCCTGCCCCACTCCCGGGGAGAGCTCACCTGAGTAGACGCTCTCGGCGTCGAGGGACGGCGGCAGGAATGGCGGAGGGAGAGAGGGCGCCTGAATGCCTGGTGCTGGAGGGATGTCCCACTCCGTCCTGTCAGAGGGACGGTCAGAGAGCTGAGCAAAGCACAAAGGGCTGCGAGTGGGGTGTCGGCTTGGGAGGCAGCGAGGGACACTCACCCGTCCAAAGAAGGGCTCTGGAAGGGGCCACCGCCCTGCTCGGGTGTGATGGGATAGTCAGCTGAAGAGTGGCCAGCCTCCTCCATCTCTCCAATGAGGTCCAGCATGAAGTCGCAGCCCAGCAGGTCCTGCCACACCTCACCTGACAGCATGGAGATGGCCCACCCTCGAGGATCCTTATCCAAGCCCCTGAGAAGAGGGGAGGAAGGGGCGAGAGGGAGAGGATGGTAGAGTTAGCGAGAGGAGCACCGGGGTGGGAGGGAAAGACAGGGAGGGAGAGATGCTGAGAAGAAAGAGTTCAATTTCCTTCCCCCAGCACCAGCTTTTTCTAGTCCAGGCTAGTTATTCCTCCCCTCAACAGAATCTACAGCGCCCCCAGCAAATTCTAATCTTCCCCCAGCAAATGCAAGCTTTCCCAGAGCCCCACTGGAAGGGACAGAGCACCGTCCCTGCTGCTCAGAGGGGGAGAGCAAGACAACAGTGATTAAAAGATTTGCCCAAGATCAGACAGTGAATCTGGCAGAGCCAGGGACTGCATCCAGAGCTGCCGATTCCCACGCCCCAAGATGATCCATGGGATCAATGGTCCTTCCTCTCCCCCTGCACACTGAGCTAGGACAGACACGGGGAGACCCGCAGCTTCTGCTCCTGACTTGACAGCACTTCTCTGGGCTCTACCAGACAGTTTCACCAGCCCCATCTTGCTGGCCTGCCCAGAGGCAGCGTGTCCCAGTGAATAAAAGATGAGACGGGGACTCAGAAGACCTGGCTTCTATTCCTGGCTCTTCTAGCAGGCTGACCTTAAGTAAGTCACTTCCCAGCCTGGTGCCTCAGTTTCTCCATCTCTGAAACGTGGCCCTGACCTTTGTAAAGCGCTACGGATGAAAAGTGCTATGAGAGAGCTATGGGTCGTTATCACCACCACCCTTTTCTGCTCCATCATCTGCACCTCCTCACACACAGGAGGCTGCATCTGCACATCAGTGTCAAAAGATAATGCAAAGGAGAAACTCATAGGAGGCTTCATGCCGCATCCTGGAGTCTTTGACACCCTCCTTCCCCTGCCACCTTTTACTCTCTGCCCTTCCCACCAGTTCCAAACACTTCTCAAAGTACCAATCTATTTGGAGTCAGAACGGTTCAGTCCACAGAGTCTCAAGAGCCCAAGTTATCCACAGAGTTCTAGCCTGAAATAAGGGCTGCAAACCTTCATGCTTCAGGGCAGGAGCCAACCACTAAGGCCTGGGGGTCAGGAAGAATCGTTCCCTCATACTCTATAATTGTGGGGTTTCTTTCAGTTTCTTCAGAAGCAGCTGGTGCTGACCACATTCAGAAGTGGGATCCTGGACTAAATGGGCCAGTTTAGCAATTCCTGTGTTATTAGAGGTATAAACTGGGTACGTCTGGAGAGAGGGGTGATAGTGGAAAATGCAACCCTCCCAGTGATAAGCATCTGACTCCTGGCCTGGAGCCCGGCCCAGTGTGAACCCAAAGAACAATAGCACTCCCCCCTCGAGCTGTACCTTGAACCCAGGATCCAGCCTGCGTATTGTTCTGCTGTCGTCCAGGACTCCACTTCGGCAGAGAACCTCTCCTCTAGGCCAGGAAAGAGAGAGTCGGCAGAGCCGTCCACAGGACCCAGGCACCATGCGATGTGTGGCAAGCTCTGCGGGAGGATCACACCCGGCCTTCCAAGGACACCCAGAGGCGCTGAGAGCCGGTCGAGCACTCTCCCTGCGACCCTCTAGACTAGCACATGGGGGCTCTGTGTTACAGTGCCTGCCAATGCCAGGGCGTTCGGAACCCCACAGGTGGAAGTGCAGTGGGCCGGTGCTCATGGCCGCTCTCTGTAGGAGCCCAGCTGCGACCCCCGGGGCCCAGTTTGCAGATGTGCCGAGCACACACTGGGTCTGTGGGGGGAGGGCAAACGCCTGGAGAAGCAGTTCAGAGAATCCACAAGCAGCAGGACACAGAGCAATGGGGTTTTGTTCTAGCTGGAGCCGGAGCAGCAAGCCAGGGCTGCAGTTAGATGGGCCCCACCCACACCCAAAGAAACTGAAACTCAGGAATCTGTCTCTGTCTTTACCCTGAATCCAAAGTGCCTCTAACTTCAGGAGGGGATGGACAACGGGTCAGACCTCCCTGGCCATGCCAGCCAGCAGCCCAGGTCTTGTGCCCAGAGCCAGCCAGGGGAAGGACTTTCTGAGCCCCCTTTCCAGCTCCAGCAGAAGCCTTGAAGGGGCTCACAGTTGGGGCAGGCGGGAGCCAGTTACCATTATAGGTGAAGACGTCCAGAACCATCTTCCCTCTCCTCTGGTTGGCGGTCCACTGGTCAGACCTCCCTGGCCATGCCAGCCAGCAGCCCAGGTCTTGTGCCCAGAGCCAGCCAGGGGAAGGACTTTCTGAGCCCCCTTTCCAGCTCCAGCAGAAGCCTTGAAGGGGCTCACAGTTGGGGCAGGCGGGAGCCAGTTACCATTATAGGTGAAGACGTCCAGAACCATCTTCCCTCTCCTCTGGTTGGCGGTCCACTCCAAGAGGGTGGGAGGGTGGGCACGGGAGACCTCCGGGCGCGTCTCGG